CACCCCCAGTAGAAAGGTTCTTCATCCTCCCTGTCATGGCCTGAACTGTAAACCAGGGGGTTTGTATGTAGCTCTCTCCCAGTCAGCCCAGAGCTTCCCTGCAGCTGAGCTGGCAAGCTCAACTCCACTGAGAGCACATGTCTATATTTGAGGAAAGCAGCCAATTGGGAATGGGTTGCATAGCCTGAGACTACAGGGAAAACTGGCTGGACCCAGCCTTTCTCCTGTATCCCTATACCTGATCAATGCCTGGGCCTTCCATTCTGACTGACAGCATCACTGCCAGAGACTGGGCCTGACCCCAGGCTTCTCACAGGAGTTCCAGGACACTGAGAGCTTGGTCTGACACTCATCCCCATCAGTCCAAGTGGACCCAGTTGGTGGGCATTTGCTTCTGGTGGAAAAGACACATCACTTAATGCTCCTCGAGAAGCCAGACCATGAACTTCACTTTGGGCTCCTGACTCAGGCTGAGCGGGGACCAGAGGACTACACAGATATGAGCCAGGGTCCACAGTCAACCTCACTACCCACTGGTTCTCTATGGAAAACTAAGGCTGTGCCAGTGTGACCAAGGCTTAAATACAGTGACAGGTGTCAATGCCCTCATGTACAAACTGAGGCAGTAATATGCACTGGGAAGGCTGTAGGAATGTTACAACCTTGAGATAACTGATATGAACTGCCCAGCACTTGGGCCTGGCATACAGCAGGAGCCGAAGAAACAACAGTTCCTTTATTCCTACACTATCTCTCTCTTTTCAACTCACCGAGGAGCCTATGATGGCTACAACTCCAAGAGACAGAAAGCACCATTCAAAGAATCTCAAGCCAAAGACCACAGCAGGATCTGGCCAAGTTTGTAAGTAATGAAGGGCAGGGGGTGTTGTCTGAGGGTCTTTCCTTGATTCCAGCCTGACACTTTCTTGTGGCCTGAACCTTGAAAGCTAGAGGTTGTGGTCCCAGGCCACAGTACCCTAGAGCTTCAGAGGCTGCAGAAGTGGTTCTGAAAACTCTCAGTTCAGAGGGGCACCAAGTCCTATTGTTAGTGACTGCCAGTATCTCTGTATACTGGCAGTCACAGTCAATAGTAGCGGCAGAAGAAGCGGCAGGCATGGGCCTGAAGCCTAGACTCAGCTGCTCATATCCCTGTCCCTTGTCTTCTATCTTGCCTTCACTTCCATGTTCCCAGACCTAGGGCCTCTGTACCCAAGAGGTACCTACTCATTCTATGAGGCTGACAGGCCTACCCATGCAGCAACAGCGAGTCAGCTCTAGGAGATAAGAGCTGCTGAACTGCAATACAGTCTCACAAAGGCTATGGTCACCACATCTGGTCTCACCTCCTCTACCTCCAGCACCTACTTTTCCTTTGCTCCTTAACTGGCCTCAGGCCCCATCTTCTGCTCCTCTCACATGGGTCATTGGCCCTGACTAGGCTCTGAACTCAGCTTTGCTCTCACTTCCCTGACCTCTGACTGGTCTAGAAGACTGAAGGTTCTGCTCCCAACTTAGATCTGCCACCCTCAGTGACTCTCAGCTCTTGAGAGCTCTTTGCCAGCAGCTTCCTGCTGCCTCTGCTGCTGCTGCCAGTCCACCACCTCATAGTCGTTCTGCTGGAACGCATCTTGGAGAGCCAAATCCTTCTGACTTGAAGCAGGTATGGGCCACAAATAAAAGTTAAAGCTATTTACCTAAATATGGTGCTTTTTAAAAACATATGCCCCCATTTTCCAATACCCTAGAGCACCTAGAGAAAAATAAACTCTCATGCAAGGTGAATGATTAACACTTTCCTAACTCAGTTTTAGCTCCAAGCATCTGAAAGATTTAAAATATTTCACTTGAGGTTCAATTTTAGGGTTGAAATGAAGGCAGGTTATTATATAATATGCATACCTAAAAGCAAAAATCTGATAGCTCATGACCGTGGTCAGTATATGTGGATGTGTGTGGCTTGTGTATTTGTGGGGGTAGAACAAGGTAGGTGTTCATGTATTTGCATATTGTGTATAAAAATATACAATGAAGAACAAGCAAAATAAATCTATGGTGATAGTAATCAGGAAGTAGCTGTCTCGGGGGACTGATGAAAAGAAGCATGAGGAAACTTTCTAGAATGAAAACGTTCTATAGCTTATTTGGAGTGGAGGTTACAGGGTATAAACTGTCAAAACCAACCAACAGAACACTTAAGATTGGTATACTGTATCGTATGTAAACTATATGGCAATAAAAAACGAAAATAAATCCCCTGCATAGATCCATGGGTTTATGTATTCAAAGATGTAAATACACAGGTGTGTATACAGATGTGCATCTGTGTGTATAGCCCCACCTGTATGTCTATGACCTCAGTATGGGGTCTGGGCATAGGAAACCATGAGGACACAGGCACACAGAAAGTACACACTACAGAACTTCAGCTTGGCCCCCACAGCCACCAGCTTATCCTTTTCTCATCATTCCTCATTTGCCCAGCATTTCCCTAATGCCTACAACTCTTATCCAAACCTCCTTACCCTCTTTGGGTCCCAGTCGAGCAACTTCTCTGTAATTTTCTAGTTCTTACTGGGAAGGTTAAGGTTACTAGGTGTGAAAGACCCTCCTCCCCCCTGCTCTCTGGCTGTCTATACAGCTTTCTCCCAGAGTCAGAGGGATAAATGTCCTCCGACCTCATCCTCTCCTACCTAATCCTTCCTCCTCCCCCTCTCCCAATGGCCCTCTCCTTTTGACATCTCAAAGCTCACCCCCTCTGTTAGCGTCCTTCTTTCTTTTTCAAACATTTACAAGTCTCAGCTTTCTTGAAACAATTCATGAAACCAGAAAGAAAACCCCTAGAATAACTTGGCATATGTCCTCTGAAGCTTGTGCAGGCACAGAGGCTGATGCTGGGCCCCCGGCTAGAAAAGTCTGAGGCTGTTAACAAAGCAAAGAGAGACAGCTGCATTTGAAATTGTCTGCATCCCCAGACTTTGTTAAGGCAAAAGATACATTAGGGTGTCCTATAGACCAGATGTGGGCCAGGCAGGAGAGGCCAACTAGAAGCCATCTTAAATGGACTTTGCCCAAGAGGGGCTACCTGGAGGAACAAGGGACCAACTGCACGTAGTGGGGAATTCAAGAAACCAGGAGCTGAGGAAGCAACTGAAAGCGGCAAGATAAGTGTAACCACTAGGTCAAGAGAACTGCAGGTAAGAGAGATCCACAAAAGCGCTGCATCTAGGAGTCAGCTAAATTCTCACCAAGCCCAGAAAATACTGCCAGATGACAGAGATCTTTCCTGCCCCTATCTCTACTCTTACATCCCCCTCCCTCAATACTGATGGCTCTGAAGCCTCCATCTGCATGGTGTGGGGGTGGAGGAGAGGGGAGAAAGCGAGATGGAGGGATACAGAAGTTATCCGCCCCCTATCCAAAAGTGGAGCCTAACTAAAGCTCGAGAAGAGACACTTTAACTTTGAATTAAGTTCAGAGTTTTAACTATTAATGTGATCTGGACAGTTAGGCTATTGCAATAAGTCTGTCTGTCCTGGTGACCAGATATAATCCAGGGGCAAATAAAAATTCCTAGAAAGAGCAGGGATGAAGACATAAAGTTTTTATGACTGCATTAGGCTTCTTGAATACAGCCCTGCATGTAGCAGTTACACATACAAAACAGAGCACAGCACCTGCCAGTCATTGTTCGATACAGCTGCTGTTCCAGAGTGTTACAAACTATCTTGGGATTTAAAGGGAAGCAAACAGGAACTGCATGTAAGGACACCCTTGCTGCTCAGTTGTCTGGGATGGCCCCAGTAAAGGACGTGGCAGGTAGTGAGGTGTTGTGGAGATGCTGACAGGGCTAACTTGGCTTCTCTCACAGCCTCAACTTTCCCTTCTATAGAGATGACTTCAGGCCTGGTTTTCTCCTGCGTTTCAATCCCACATTTCTTCTTGGAAGTAATTCCCCATTTGTCCACTGATTATTTCTTCATGGACAACTCATCATCACTTCCAATTTGGCCCATCTAAAATGGAGTGCTATTTTTTTTATTTATCTAGCCAACTCTTCTTCCACACCCCAGAATTCCCTGTTTCTGTACATACATCCTTCTCTCAGACTGATATTCCACATCCTTTTCATTCATTTCTTAAACCCAGATGGGCATAAACTCTTGATTCTTCCCGTGAGTCTGTTCCCTCTTTTGGCCCCACATTCTCTATGGATGCCATCATCATTAAGATCTTTATCATCTCTTAAGATAACCTCCTACACAATCTCTCCACCCCCCACATTTTCCCTGTGGAATCTTTAGCCTGCACAGGTCAGTCTAATCTTCTTCACAGTTCTGATGGCAGCACACAGGCCTTTGATAAACACTTGCTTCCCAAGGAATAAAATACAAACTCAGCTAACATTTATAGGCCCTGAGCAATCTGGTTTCTCCAATCTGCTTTTTCCAGATTTATCTAAAAACATTCAACTCTCTCCCAGTTCAAAGTGTCACTCCCAGCCTGGTCAGTGCCGGGCAATAAAGACGGAGAGATGAAAGACATACCTGACCTCAAGGTGCTCAAAGTTCTAGTGGTAAGATAGAGAGGCAAATGATTAACCAGAGAACATGGTCAGTGGCAAGATGAAGGGCATTGCTCCTCCTCGTGTCCCCACTTCATCAGGAATTATCTGTTCACTGTCCCCTAAACATAGGCCTTGGCTTTCCTACCTCTGGGTTTTCCTTTGGGCTCTTTTCTTCTTTAAACATTTTCCATTGTTAAATGCCCAGCTCCTAGCACCCTTCCTTTGAGAATTCCAATGCCCAAGGATCTCTTCCTCCTCTGGAGTTGAATAGGTCCTTCTCTTTCTATATGTCTCTCAGCTTAGACATTTCATGCTTCGGAGTCCTCTCTCACAGGACACCTACTCACACCCCAAAGCTAGGTTGGATACACCTCCTCTCTGTCCCGGTACCTCACAGTACCTCATAACTCTCCTAGCGTTGCCCACATCAATTTACCTCTTTCCCACCACACGCTGAGTGTCTTGAAAGCAGAAAAATGCGTGGGTCTTGTTCACAGTTGAATACCCAGCTCCAAGATGGGGCTGGCACATCTTAGTAGCTCAATAAATGAGTGTAAGGGCCGGAGAAAATAGTAAGCCAGTCACCAGGCAGGCACTCCCTTGTCTTTAGCACTCATGCTAACTTTCTTTTCACTCTGCTTTCCAAACTAACCACCCTTTCCAGGCAAGCTGAGTCATCAATCCCCCACCCGCCCCCGCTGGGATAATGCATTCCTCTCAAGGCAACAAACTGCAGCACATCTGTCTGCCCCACTTGACTCGGCTTTCTGAGGTGAGGGCAAGGTTTTTCTGTATGCCCAGAAAATAGCGGGGTGGGGTGGGGAGAGGCTTGAAGCTTAAATTTAATTTATAAATTTAAATTTATGAACACCTCTTGAGCAGATACCATCTCTTTACTTTGTCTGAGTGAACTCTGAATAAAGACCCTGAGCCGCAGCCAGTTTCTTCGTCCCTAAAGCAGAAACAATGCGGCCAAGTGCATAGCAGTGCTGGGCAAAGCTGAGATGTAGGAACTGGGTGATCACATTAGTTACCTAGATACCGGTTTCGTCCTAACACAAGGCTGTTGTCCTGCAGGGCTCACTGAACAGTGCCCAGCGCTAAGTCAGTGCTTAGTGTCAGCCATTCTCAGTTGTGGTGTCTCGGTGGTGGCACCTCGCGGGACAGGGGCTGGGCGGTACGTGTGTGTAAGCAGGGGAGTGCATGGAGTGACAGATTAGAACCCCCCATCCTCCCACTCTACCCCCGGGACTGTCGAGCTCTCTTCCCTTCGCTCCTTTCCTTTCCAGAGTTTTCCAGAGCTCGGGGCCCCCTCCTACTACCGGGGGCAAGAGGAGTAAGTCTGGCTGAGGTAGGGGGCTCGGATCTTAGCCTATCTCCCAGTCAGAGCCTATGTCTGGAGCCCCACCTGGAAAAAGGCTCCTCTAAAGCTCTTCCAGCCTAAACCTCGTCCTCTTCCACCTCTTGGGAGAGGGGCTCTCCCTCCCGCTCCGTCAGCTTCTCCCGGACGGGCTTCACGAAACTTCAGAGGCGTTAATGCCCAGCCTCAGGCTAAACTCAGAAGAAGCTAGGAGAGCCGCTGCGACTTCCTTTGCGACAGCCGGATCTGACCGTGACCCCGCGAGATCTGGGAGGTGGGGCGGGGCCGGAAGTTGGGCCCTCTCGCGAGGCCCAGCGGAGTGGGGACAGGAGGCCGCGAACACTGTGGAGGTCGTTGGAGTCACTTGCTTGCCACCAGTTCCTTCACTTGCTGGTCCGCGCCCTGCCTTCCCCAGCCATGCTGTCCGCCCTCGCCCGGCCTGCCGGCGCCGCTTTCCGCCGCAGCTTCAGCACCTCGGCCCAGGTAGGCCTCACGAGGGGCTGGCTGCAGGCGGAAGCCCCCGGCCTGGGGCACGTGCGTTTCTGGCCCGCGAGCTGCCCTGACCCCGGTCCAGCCTGCTCCACGGCGCCGCCGGGTACGGGCCGGCGGCTGTGACACCCTAGGCCGGCCCTGATACCGGGCGGAAAGTGCGGGAGAGAGGAGGGAGGTAGCCCAACTCCAGAACCGGTGCACTTTTCCCATCCTTAGCTCATCCCCGGGTTCCGCGGAAGGCCTGTTCTTGGACTGCACCCCTTCAGTCTTGAGAAGCCAGGGCTCTGGGGCCAGAAGTAATTTATGGTTTTATACAGCTTTGAGTAAATAACCTTGTTCTTCTTGACGCATGCAAATAAAGTATAATTATTAGCTCCATAACTGGACTGTGGTACTGAGGGTAGAGAACTGGTCCATGGTTACACAGTCATTTGGCTAGAGGATTAAAATTCAACTCTCCTGACCATTATCAATAGCTTTTGGATTAGCAAGCCTTTCCTCTAAGGACCTGAAGAATGCTTCATTTTAAGGACCTTTCTAAAGGATCCTTATGCCACAGTGTACTGGGCCTAACCCCCAGGTGTTTTAACAGGCCAATACTTGGCCTGGGACTATTAAAGCCTAAACTATTTTTAGCTATTTCTTCTGGGACAGTGGTTCTCAAGCTCTGGTGTGTGCAGAATCCCCTGAAAGCTAATAAAGATCAGAGGCCCAGATTCATTGAAGCAGGGTAGGACCTGGGCCTCTGTATTTTTACCAAGTGTCCCAGGCAATTCTGATACAACCAGAATCAGAACCCAGGAGATGCCCACATTGCCACACCCAAAAGGGAGTTGATTATTAAAGGAGAATCCAGATTTCTTATTTAGCTTGTCTTTCAGATCATTCTTCTGTGAGTTTAATTCATTTGGAAAATATATTGAGTATCCGTGCTTGCCAAGAGCAGGGCTGGGTATTGCAGGGGATACCAAGATGAATGAGAAGTGGCGCTTGAGATCAGCCAAAAATGAGTAAACTTAAGGCAAGTAGGGGTGATGAAGATTGATGCTGAGGAGTGGCAGGAGGAGCTGACCAAAGGTAAGACAGCGGGATTTACTGACACGATTTGATGAGGGGTCCTGAGAGAAGGAGGAGCATGAAGGACACGAAGCCTTTGGTGTTTGCTGAGATGGGAAAAAGACTGCTGGAAGAGAGTGGTTTGGGGCAGGTGGAGGATATCAGGAGCTCAGTTTTAGATATGTTGAGTTTAAAATGCCTATTATACATACAAGGAGAGATGTTGAGAAGGTAGTGTGTCAGAAAGGTGAGCTTGAGCCAAATGTTACATTGGTCTTCACATACTGTATTCTTTGGAGTAAACGTGTTGGGCACAACAACCTCAATATATGTATTGCTACAAATACATACTAGTGTAGTTGAGGTCTGTCCAGAAGGTATCCAGCCATGTAATGTGAGAAGCAAGGACATTTATTGAAGAAGATACAAGAACATTGTACATAGGACAGTGATGCCTCAATCCCCTTCAAAGTAGGCACCTTGGGACCTCACACAGTTTTCCCAGTTGCCATCAGTTGCCTGAATCTTATCGATGGTCTGAAACCTCTTCCCTTTCAAAGGCGATTTGAGTTTTGGGAAAAGCTAGAAATTGCAGAGGGCCAAATCTGGGCTGTAGGAAGGCCAAGTCACCTGGGTGATTTGATGTTTCACCAAAAACCTCTGCATGAAATGTGATGCATGAGTGGGCCTGTGGTTGTGATGGAGCTGTCAATCACCAGTTGCCCATAGATGCGGCCTTCTGAATTATTGAAATAGTTTCTGCATAAGGAATGAATGTTCAACCTTACTGCAAAATGTGATGCAGATGCATGGCTCTGCTTGCTCAGTCATTTTGAATGTGACAGCCACCCAGCACACTCAACAGAGTCTACTGCCCCAATGACTAATACAGTGAAGTTGTCATTGTTTACACATGCACATTACAGTCCTCTCTCCTTGGCTGCCAGGTTACATTGATGTCATGTAAACTGTTTTCCTTATATTAACAATGGCTAGACTTTTTCCAGACAGACCTCAAGTTATAACAAACAAAAAATAGAAACTTAAAAACTAACAGACTTTAAAAAGCAAAAGTGTAAATGAAAGGAGTGCTACTGCATGTCCATTTTCAAAACAGTTGCTAAGCAGTGTGCTGTTGACAACCACTTCTCAACTTAGAAGAGGTTACTGAGTTTGGAGACAGATCTTTTCCAAAGAGATGATGAGCTAACATCTGCAGTACCAAAGATTCTCACTTCATTGTAAAGCTTCCACCACTAAAGGGATGTGGTTTTATAAATGCTATCTAAGGTGATGAAATTCTGTAATGTACAGACAGGAACATCACCTCAGCACACTGAAAACAGCAGCACAAGTGAGGAGGTCATCCGCCTCCCTGCCTCCCTGCTTCCCTGTGTTCATCTCCTTATCATATGGGACTGATTGGCTAAGGACCCTGCTGAGGGCATCCGGTCAGCCTGTTTCTTGGTAGAGTTTAATTCTTTATCAGATAAAAATAAAAACACGACTTGAACATCTTTATCCTGTACCCCAGTGGAATTGTCTTGTGCCCCCATGGTGGAACCATTGCTCTGGTCAGCCTTGGAAGCCATGTTGAGTAATTCCGGCATGAGGAACTTCAGAAGCAAGGAAATGGTTAAAACTTTAAATTTTATGAAGGGTGGTTTGGAGGTGGTGCTGATGACCAAGTTAGATCATGGGAAGTAGGTTTGAGGTCCTGAGTCCTTCGTGTCCTAACTGAGTGTCTCTAATAAGGGAAGAGGCAGAAGCTGGTTCCAAAGTTTTTTTGTTTTGTTTTGTTTAAGATTTTATTTATTTATTTTTAGAGAGGGAAGGGAGGGAGAAAGAGAGAAATATCAATGTACAGTTGCTGAGGGTCATGGCCTGCAAACAGGCATGTACCCTGACTGGGAATCGAACCTGCGACACTTTGGTTCGCAGCCTGCACTCAATCCACTGAACTAGGCCAGCCAGGGCTCTGGTTCCAAAGTTTTAAGTTGGGGAGAACACAGGTGCCATTGGGGATGGGAGAGGTAGAGAGGATCAATTTATCTAGACAGTTGGGTTTGTGGGATCAGTGGAATGCCTAAAGCAGCTGGGAATGTGGAATTGGAATTTGGGAGTCCCTGGGATTAGGGAAAAGATATGGGAGTGGTAATTGAAGATCTGGAAGTGGATATGATTACCAGATTGGGTTCTGAGTTGGTCTGGCTAGTGAAGTCAAGGATTTACCTTTAAAGCATCAACTTAAAAAATAATTTCAAATCTTGGTTGTAGTGTGTGCTTTTTGAGTTTTCACTGAACAGATTGCATTGTGTGGGGTTGTTTTGGTTTGGGGCTTGTTTGGTTTGATTTTTGTTTCTGGTAATGAAAGCATGGTTTTACCAACATCAGTTGCTGCAGAATACAGTGTGCAGCAACAGCGTGAGGACCCAGAGTAGACAGCCGCCCCAGATGACCACACAAAGTTCTTTGTGTTCTTGTCCCTGCTGTCTTTTCTCAGTTTGTTTCCTAACTTCCTGACCACAGCCTGCCTGCCAGTCAGGAATAGGCTCCCTTCTCATTTGTGACTTTAGATTAGAAACAACAACATTGAGATTGGCCAGAATTTTGGTAAGGCCCAGAATGAGACCTAAAGAGGAAGAATGTCTTTAGTACAGTAGGAATGAGCTCCAGGGCAGGACTTAGATCTATTTTCTTTAATACTCTCTGTAAGAGACCAAATTTAAGACTCAAATCGCCTATGCTTGGCTTGTATACTAGCTTCATCACTTGCTGTCTTTGTGAAGCTGGGTATTTTACAACCTCTGTGCTTCAGTTCCTCATCTGTAAAATGAGTCTGTTAATATTGCTTAAAAGAGTTGTAAGAATTACATGAGGAGGCCCCAGCTGGCGTAGCTCAGTGGATTGAGCTCGGGCTGCGAACCAAAGTGTCGCAGGTTCGATTCCCAGTCAGGGCACATGCCTGGGTTGCAGGACATGACCCCCAGCAACCACACATTGATGTTTCTCTCTCTCTCTCTCTCTATCTCCCTTCCTTCACTCTCTAAAAATAAATAAATAAAATCTTCAAAAAAAAAATAAAAAAGAATTACATGAGGAAAGACTAAGTTCAGTGCCTGCCACAGAGCAGACCCTGATAAATGGCCAGCTGTCATCATTTTGTTTCCAGTGTTCCCAGTAAATGAGGTAGCTGGATGGCTTGAGTTTGGGGCAGAGCATTTCTTTGTAATAAATTCTGCCCTCCATAGGAAAGATCACTAAGAAGCAGGCATTGAATTGGTGGTTAAAAATGTCTGGGGTGGGGGTGATCTTAAGTATCAGTTCATCATCCTTCACAGACTCTTCCTCCCACCCCCTACATGCCGGTGTTCTTACTGCTCTTCTCACTCTGTTCCCTTTTGTGTCTTGTCCATGTCCATGGCTTCCATTAATCCCAGGACAGACACTATGACCCCGAGACCAAGCCCTTTGTCTGGGGACCTACCAGGCACATGTATGTGTCTGAATGTTTCAAGTGGCCCAAACTCAACATACAAGCAATGCATTATCCTTTTTCCCAAACCCCTTATCCCTCCTCAGTTCCCTCCGTGTGTAAAGACAGTGCTATCCAGTCCAGCCAGAAAGTCGTCACCTTAGATTCCTTCCTCTACTCACCACTTAGATGATTGAAGAAAGGGAGGGGGTAACTTGAATCTATTGCTACTATTCCTCAAGCCACTCATAGCCCACCCACCCTTGCTGCTGCATTTATTCCATCCTTCGGTCGCTCTTAGACTACTGCAGTAGCCTCCTTGCTTCCATTCTCATGCATTTCCACTCCATCTTCCGCTCTGCCTCGTGTCTTTCTGATACAGATTTGGTCACATTCTTCCCAGCTTGTGAGGCCCTTCAGTGGTTCCCGTTACCTACAAGGACTTAGATATTCTGTGCTTGGCCCTACCGCTTCCTTTCTCCATATGTATCCAACAGTGCTCAAGTCGTAAAGAACTGCTGGGGCTGCTTCCCGTGAGTGGGCCATGCTCCATGCCCCCCCTCCCGCCCCCGATATCTACCTGGTAAACTACCTACCCTCAAAACCCCCTCCAATAGTTTATTCTTCCCTGTTTGTGCTGCTGCTCTTGCTAGTATATGCCTCTGTGGCACTTGTCACACTAGGTGCCATTTAAGTTTCCCTGTCTTTCACTTTATAGGTCTTATTGACACTAAGAAAGCCAGTCCGGCACCTGGCACATAGAAATTTGGTGACTGTTGAATTGTAATGAGCCTTAATGGATGAATATCGGCCACTTTGGAAAACAGTCTGGCAGTTTCTAAAAAGATTAAACGTGGAGTTGCCACATGACTTGTCAGTTCCACTCCTTGGTGTATACCCAAGAGAATTAAAAGCATGTCTGTACAAAAACTTACACATGCATATTCAAAGCAGTGCTATTGATTATAGCCAAAGGAAGAAACAACCCAATTGTCCAGCTGATGAATGGCTAAACAAAATGTGGCAGGCAAAGCCATATGATGAGTATTATTCAGCCATGAAAAGAAATGGGCCCTGGCTGGTGTGGCTCAGTAGATTAAGTGCCAGCCTGTGAACCAAAGAGTCACCAGTTCGATTCCTAGTCAGGGCACATGCCTGGGTTGCAGGTCCATCCCTAGAGGGGGCGCACGAGAGGTAACCACACATTGACATTTCTCTCCCTCCCTCCCTCCCTTCCTCTCTGGTCATAAATAAATAAATCTTTTTTTCAAAAGAGAAATGGGGTACCAATATGTGCTACAACATGGATGAACCTTGGAAGCATTATGGTCAGTAAAAGAAGCCACGTGTTACGAGATGCCATTCATACGTGAAACATCCAGCGTAGGCAAAGGCAAATCCATAGGGTCGAAAGTAGGTGAGCAGTTGCCAGGGGTTATATGGAAATGGGAAGTAAGGCATTGGGTTTCTTTGTAAAGGATAACGGTTCTACAACTCTGCCTATGCTAAAACCATTGGATTGTACATTTTAAATGAGTGGACTATGTAGGGAAATAACATCTCAATAAAGCTGTTTGTTTGTTTTAATAAATGCAACTAGATGATGACCAGTTATTAGATCTAGTTAGCTCTGGAGCAGTTGTTGAAAGTCAGGTAATATGACTTCAGTTCCGGTAAGCTGATCAGTGAAGTGATACAAAAGCATCTAGTCTGGCCTTTCAGATGTTAATGAGACAGTCTAGTTTCTTTGGAAACCTCCCCCCACTACTAAACTATCACTTTTTAAACTGTTTTTGACATGCCAGAGCCAACTGCAGCTTGTTCTGCTCAGCTTGGTGGGGAGCAGTAGTAATTCTCAAACCTCAGCAGGTGTCAGAATCACTTGGGGAAACTTGGTAGCAATATAAAGTCCTAAACCAGATCCTCTGTGACTGGCCCTCTGTTATTTTTGTTTCTGTTTTTTGTTTGTTTTTGTTTTGTTTTCATTTGTTTTTAAGTTCAGCCCGTAATTCCCAAAATTTGGGAACTGATGTGGAGTAAGGAGTCAGACTGCAGATCTGTCTGACCTGGTAGAAATTTAAATATACACATCCCTCATAAGCCTGCCTTAGGCTTTAGCTGAGATGGTGCTAGAATCTTCCCTGATCCTTGTTCCCCAGATAGCTGATTGCCGTCCCACCCTGCACCTCTCCTGCACACAGTTTATACCGGTAGGTCTTTTCCCTTAGCTTCTCGCACATCTCTTTACTTGTCCCCTCTAGAGCCGGCAGGGGCCTTCGTTCCTGCAGTCCCACGTGTGATGACTAGCCCATTGGTAGGTGCTCAGTAAATGGTTATTGTTTTTAAAACTGCAGATTGAAAGTAAGGCTGCTGTTACCAGGCCAGCTTCCTGAAAGAGTAAAGCTTACTCATCTTTCAGAGGGTATTTGAGGTAGGACCCTATTATGACCTTTATAGACTTCAGTTTTCCTGAGCCAAGCCTTAAACTTCACAAGGAAACAGGATCTTTGGACCAGTGAAAATACAGTTGTGTCTTCCTTTGGCACCTGTGTGATAAAGGATGATGGTGCAGCCCTGGCTAGGCAGCTCAGTTGGTTAGGGCAGCATCCTGATACACCAAGATCATGGGTTCCGTCTCTGGTCAGGGTGCATACAAGAAGCAACCAATGAATGCATATGTCTCTCCCTCTGCTCTCTAAAAATTAACGAATAATTTCTTTAAAGCCAGTGCAGTAATGTACAGGAGGTATCCTTTTAATGTGAATCCATTTAATGCTGATTCCATCCTAAGAGTTCTTCCTCTCTGCCTCTTTTTAGAACAATGCGAAAGTAGCTGTGCTTGGGGCTTCCGGAGGAATCGGGCAGCCCCTTTCGCTTCTCCTGAAGAACAGCCCTTTGGTGAGCCGCCTGACCCTCTACGATATTGCTCACACACCCGGAGTGGCTGCAGATCTGAGCCACATTGAGACCAGAGCGACTGTGAAAGGTAACAGGCACACTGGCCCTGGAGCATTTGCACCCCTTCTCTCCAGCAGACCGAGGTTCAAGTTTGCAGTAAGATCCTTGGATGAAACTAGATGTTTGGAGACAGGATATCCATGTTCAGTTTAGAGTTAACTTTTACAAATCATCACACCTTTTTGGACTTGTCTATAAAAATTTAAATAATAGTGTCTTTCAGAAAAATAAACGTGGTCTGACCTTCCCTTTTGAAATTTGTCCTAACTTGAAAGGTAACATGATGATGGGGGGGGGACCTCCTGCAGGGACTTGGGGCAGTAAGAAACGCTGTTCCTGGTCATCACAGGCCGCCTTCCCATGCCATGGGCCAGCTTCCCCAGAGGATGGCCACCTCAGGGAAGTCTGCCTTCCTATTCGGGAAATGTGGGTATGTTACCCAAAAAGTAATTCATACTTGCATATAATTATATATATATGCTGCTTATTTTACCTTCACACCTTAGCAACATTTCTCATGTCACCAACTCTTGATGCAGTCAGTTTCGAAGCAATACTGTAATTTATCACTTACTTAGTATTATTCCCAGGCTGTGGACCATTGGGCTCTTTCTTGTTTTTCTCTACTATAAATATATAAGCTATGGTAAACATTCTCATCTTTTTTTAAGATTTTATTTATTTTTAAAGATTTTTATTTTTATTTATTTTTAGAGAGTCAGGGCGGTGGGGGAGAAAGAGAGGGAGAGAAACATCAATGTGTGAGAGAAATGATTGTTTGCCTTAACCAGGGACCTGGCCAGCAACCCAGGCATATGGCCTGACCGGGAATCAACCTGTGACCTTTTAGTTTGTGAGACGACACCCAATCCACTGGGCCACACCAGTGAGGGCCTTGTTTATTTTTAGAGAGAGGAGGAGGTGGAGAAGAAAGACAGGGAGAGAAACATGGACCAGGAATTGAACCAGAGACTTTTTACTTTTCAGGACAATGCCCAACCCACTGAGCACACCGGTCAGGGCGAACATCCTCAACTTTGTTATATTTTGTTTCTTAGAGGCGTAAAAGTAGAATTAGTATGACTAGTTTAAGGTTTTCGCTATAAAGTACCTAACTGTCCAGAGAGGTGAAAACAACACAGGAGGCTGACTCTCATTTGTTTATGAGCCTTTCGTAGTCGCCCTGAACTTGTTTGCTCGTTTGTTTTTGTGTTGTAGACTTGATTTTCTTCAAGCTCTTGCAAATAAGGAAAAAGTTAATCAAAATCAAGGCAGATTTGGTCATTGGAGCAAATGTCCCCAAAATCCTTAAAAGTAGACCTTATTTCCCTTAGATGCAAGGAATAAGCAAAATACGTGCTAATAATTAGAGTTCTTGTGTATCAGCACGGAGGGCTTTTTTCACGGCCTTCAGTGTGCCCTCTGGCCTGACCTGAGATGGAGCTCTCGCTAGGAAGAGCATGACGTAGAATAAGCAGCTCTTCTAACTGGGAGCTGAGCAGGTGCTAGTGAGTAAAGATGAGTGGCCGACTTGGTTTGGTTTCCTACCAACCTGGAGAGTTAATCCATTCTGAGTCTGGGGCCTGGACAAATGGAGACCGGAGGAAAGTGGAGTGAAGGGGGCATTCCTGCCAGCCAGAAGTGTCAGATTCACAGGGCGGTAGTCCTCCAGGGAAAGGAAGCATGCCATAGGTGGGCCTGCCAGCCTTTCCTGTGGCTGGTGGTCACAATGCAGGTGGGGTCATCCTTCTGGGTGTGTCCCCACAGGTGAGCTAGTCCCACCAGGTCACAAATGATAAGATTGCTCTTATGGGTGTTCTTCTAGGCTACCTCGGACCTGAGCAGCTGCCAGACTGCCTGAAAGGCTGTGATTTGGTAGTTATTCCAGCTGGAGTCCCGAGAAAACCAGGTGTGTGCTTGAAAGCTCTCCCCCCCATCCCCCCCCCCCCGCCCCCCGCCAACATCTCCCTGCAAGTCAGATGAGGAAGTAGTTTTCTGTGAAAAATGGAGCTAGTCAGATCTCTCTGCTGCAGAAAAAATTCCGAAAGTTCTCCATTGCCTGCAGCATAAAGATCAAGGCCTCCAGGTACCCCCCTGCCCGGAATGCCCTTTCTTCCACTTGTCTCCCTAACCCTAACCCTTACCATAACCCTTGGGAATCCTTCCTGATTCCCCTCCCCCTGCCCCACCCCCACACGTCCCTGTTTGGACACTTGTCACACTGGGCTGTTTTCCCTGCAAGACAAATGAACAGAAACCCTGTCCATGTTGGAATTTCCTGTAACGGCTAACACACAGCACTTGGCACATAGGAAATGTCTCCCTGTGTTTTGTGAACATCTTGAATTGGGTTATTCTCAGGTATGACACGGGATGACCTGTTCAACACCAATGCCACAATCGTGGCCACCCTGACTGCTGCCTGTGCCCAGCACTGCCCTGAGGCCATGATCTGCGTCATCGCAAACCCGGTGGGTGCTGCTAGCACTGTGTGAGAGCTCACAGTCAGCGGGGGGTGCTGATGGCATGGGGGCATACTCAGACTCACACACCGAAGTGGGAAGTCGGGTGAACTACATCTGTTCCCTAAGGATGCCTTCTGGCAGGGACTGAGTTTGAACCTGGTTTTTCCATCAATTAACTGTATGCCTTTGGGCAAATCACTTCCCTTCTCTGAACTTTAGTTTCTCCACCTGGAAAATCCAGACATGATTTGGTAGCTTGTGGACTTTTATTGTGCTGTACCAAGGGTTTGCAACTCCTGGTTCCCTAGCATTCCCTCATTTACAGATAAAGGCCCCAACTCCTAGGGAGTTGACGTAGTCTGCCCAGGGTTACTGTGCGCAGTGACAGGGCTGGGACTGTACCCTGCACCCTCTGAGCGTTAGCCCTGTGCTGTGCTGTGTTTTGTTGGGAGTGGCCGTTCAGGCATAAGTTCTGGCTGGAGCAACAATACCCTGTGGAGCCATCACCACACTTTTGATAGTTCAGGGGTCTTGTGCATGTTTGAATTATGGACTCAGGGGCCACTGAGGGAAGAGCCCCTACTGCAGTCTGAACCCTGGCTCCTTTGTTCATGTGGAGGGGAAAGGAGCACTCCAGCTGGGCAGGAGGTGCGCCTGCTGTGGCCTGCTCTTGTCGCTCCATGGCTGTGCTCGCAGAATGCAGGGCAAATTATGCCTCTCTCTTGGATTTACTAGGTTAACTCCACCATCCCCATCACCAGTGAAGTTTTCAAGAAACATGGAGTATACAACCCCAATAAGATCTTTGGGGTGACAACCCTGGATGTTGTCAGAGCCAACACTTTCGTCGCAGAACTGAAGGTAAGAGCCACATCGGGTGTTTTTCATGCTCCCTTTTCTGAACTTCTCCGGGCTATCCTTGGCTCACATATGGGCATAGAAGACACCAGGGCACTAACAGGTCACTTAGAACTTGGGAGTTTTAAATGTTTTTAATGGCTTGCCTCCTTGGTGGGAAGTAGCTCCCACATTTTGGGGGACGGCATCTAAAGAGCAGGCCCCTGCAGGGTTGAGCCAGCCAGTGTCGGACTTGACTCGGCCTGCTCCTCTTCTGCTTCTCCCTGATGCATCCAGGGTTCGGGCTTTCTCTGGGTTTCTCATTGCCTGGACTCACCAGGAGTTTGTGTTCTTTCTCAGGCCTGATTACCCAGGGAAACCCGTGCGCCGCCCCCCGTTTCCTAGCTCAGGGCTGCACTGCCCCTTTTCATTGTTACAGGCTTGAGTCAGGCAGAGGAGACAAGGCAGCCAAGAGATAGGAGACTTCTCGCAGGCAGAATGAGGACTTTGTCAAAGCTGAGGGGCAAGGGCTGATCACTGCCTTTTTCCACAGCCCCCAAGTCCTTCCCTGAGGGCTTTCCCACGTGATCATGCTTGTCTTAGGTCGTTCCACCCTTGGGGAATCTTTCCAATCATTGACTAACTGATCAAGCAATGGGGGCCAGGCAAGGAGCACAAGTGGCGCTCCTGCCAGGGAGATGAGCTTTGTCTCCTTTGTGGCTTCTGGTCCAGAGGTCTCTCACTCAGCCTTAGCAATGGGGGGGTTGCAGCTCCTGAAGCCAGGCAGGGCAGTTCCCAGCATCTCCCCCTTTCTTGTTTTTTAAATCAATTGTTGTTGTTAAGTCCAAGGTCATTGCCTCTAGAAACTAGTATTAACAGGAATTATTCACTAATCGTTAGATAAATTATTATATAAATCCTGAGCATTCAGAATTGTTGTCCCTAGGCTATAGTTCTGGCTCCTCTTGTTGGGTTACCTGTGGTAGCTTTCTTCGGAGAGGTCCGATCTTGCCAGTTGTCTGCTGCTTCTTGGGCTGCGGGGCTCATCCTGAGCTGGGTTTGCCACCAGCACTAGGTTTGGGGTCGTTGGTGCCTTTCACAACACGCTGTCTGGTCTTTGTCATTATGAATCTAGCAGAACCACTTACTTTGGCCTCAAAAAGTCTCCTTCTTGAACTTGAGGTCATTTTTTTATCTGACTTTTGCAGATGAGGGGTGCCTCTCTAAAGTAGGGGACACTGTACACAGCTTGGTGAGAAGTGCACACACAGGACTGTTGGACTTGACTTTACTCCCCCGTGCACCAGGCAGGCCTGCCTCTGAAGTGCTGGTGCCGCCCCACTTCAGCCTACCCTGTGACACGTTCCTCAGGCGCAGTTCTGGGTGTGGGTGTCACCACAGTCCAGAAGACGTGGCCCCAGGCCGTGGCTGCTCTGTGGAGAAGCACTTTAATTCAAGAGATAATTTAATTGAATAACCGGTTCAGTTCGGTGTATGTCATGTGATTCCCTTGAGTCAGGAAAGGCTTTGTGGAAGAGATCACATTGGAGCTGAGAGTGCGCGGGCCGGGGTGCCGGGACCCCAGCTCCCCAGGAACAGCAGTACCCATTCTCTGAGGGCTCCCGTGGCACTGCCCGCTTTCAGAGCACTCCGTGTGCCCGGGCCCTGCTCGTGTGCACAGTGCAGTAGCTGCCTGTGGCTGTTAAATCAGATCAATAAAATGAGAAATTCATGTCTTCCGTCACACTGGCCAGACTTCAGATAGCCACATATGGCCTCTGTGTTCTTGCAGGGAGTCCTATTAGATGGTGCTGTCTTAGCCTAGAAGTGGTACTGTTTGAGGTGGAGATGGGGGATCTCGGCCCCTCCCAGAGAATTAGTGCTTGACATGCCTCAGTTACGGAAGTGCCCTCACTTACCTCAGGCTGTCTGGCATTCTGGAGAATTCCTGAAGAGTCAAAACTGACCCCAAAGCTCCCAGTGCCTGGTTCCTCCCTCAGCCCTCTTGGCCACCTTCCCCTTCCCCAGGCTCATGAGTGTTTCTGGTTCACATTCCATACTTTGCTGATGTGGTGCGTGTTCTTCATTGCTGCTGGCCTTTGCTCATTTTGCCCAGAGTATGCTTCCCCTGGGGAAGGCCTCCTGTTTCTTCCCAGGTGAAGTTAGGGCAGACCCAGGAAGCCTTGCCACACTGACGAAGTGTTCCCCTGGCTTCCATAGTGATGTTTCTTTGTGTTTGTCTCATGAGACAGTAAGTTTCTCAAAAGCAGGGGCTTTTGTCTGTTTATGCCTGTGTCCTGGTGGCGGGCACAACACCTTGGCCTCCGAGGGTCCTGCTGTGCCCACCCCCTAGAGGCTGAGCCTCCCTTCTTGGGTGAGGCTGGTTCCCAACTTAGGTTAGGGCTGTTCTCTTCAGCAGCTGCAGCATTTGGAGAACATGGCATCATTTTGGGACCGTTCACCTCTGTCCCTTAACTCCCCCCAGATTTTTATTACTTTATTTTTTACAGTCATAAATAATCAGTTCACAGATTCTCTAGGGCGTTGTCCCTCCACTTAGCAAACACACCATCCTCTTCCAGCGAGCCCACTAACAAGCCAGGGTGTTCTGACCCTTGCCGGTTTTGTTCTTTCTGTCCCGATTGCTGTTTGAATTGAAGCCCAGAGTTGTTGCCCCTGGGCTTCCTGGAATTGTTTTTGAATTTTACCCTGAAATGCGCGAAAGGGAATTTGACATATTGTCTGTGAGAGTGTGAGCACCCGAGTCTGGGCTTGTGCAGGGGAGTAGCATTGTCTGTGAGGAAGAGACTGTCGTTCTTTGATTCTGAGAAGAAGGGACCGCTTGCAGGGGTGGCTACAGTGAGGCAGTTTTCAACGCACTGTAAAGGGAAAACCTCATCGTGAACTCAAGATGACAAGTTACTCCTCACTACTTGTGTTCAGACTTGTGAGAACAGGGGCAGGTCCGTGGTAGGTCTGAGCAAGGCTGGCGTCAGTCTCGTCTCTGATTTCTTTGTTTTATTCTGAGTTCTGTGGGGTTTTCCAATATTGGTGCTTTGGTGGATATGTCATGTTTTATACCTAAAAGAGCTTGTTAAAAATTAACCAAGCTGCTCTGGCTGGTGTGGCTCAGTGGATTGAGCACTGGCCTGCAAACTGAAGGGTTGCCAGTTTGATTCCCTGTCTAGGGTGCATGCCTGGGTTGCGGGTCAGGTCTCCTGTAGGGAGTGCATGAGAGGCAACCACACATTGCTATTTCTCTGTCTTTCTCCCTTTTTTCCCCTCTGTCTAAAAATAAATAAAAAAATCTTAAACAAACAAACAATTAATCAAGCTTCACATTTTGTTGACCAGAGTTTGGATCCAGCTCGAGTCAATGTCCCTGTCATTGGAGGCCACGCTGGGAAGACCATCATCCCTTTGATCTCTCAGGTGGGTGTGCGCCCTTGCCAGGAAGCCTTAATCCCATGACCGCCTTTGAAAGGTTCCACTGGGAGGCACTCTGTACAGACTGACAAAGGTCTACCCGTCTGTGTAGTCTGAAAGGGTTCCTGCTGTGGGTGCAGCCCAGCCCCAGTTGTCCAGGGTGTCTGGACTGGTGTGGGGCCTGGCTAGGTGCCCATGTTTCAGGAGCCCACAGCCATGTGCAGTGAGTGTACTCGGAAGGTGCTCAGACAAGGCGAGCACCATGAGGAAGGAGATGCGTGCAATCAGCATCAGCACCCCTGAGCATAATGCACTGAGAAGTATGCACGGTATCTGTGGTATTCCTGCCAAAACTGCATGACCTTACAAGAAAATCCTGCGGAAACACCTTACAGATCCCAGCTGCTTCTGCAAAATGAGAGAGCTCTTGCCAAGTGTCAGAAAAGATAAGCAGGACCGAGGAACTGTGAGAGAAGAGACAGAGTAGACTTGGGTGAAATGACGTAGTCTGTTGCCAGTGAGGTCCTGAATAGGAACCTGGAACAGCAGAGGGACAGCAGTGGGAAAACCAGTGGTGTTTAAATAAGGTCTGCAGTTCAGTTAGTAATGCACTGATACTTGTCTCCTGTCCTTCACGTACAGTGTTACCATGAGGGTAAGACAGGTGAGGGAAATCTTTGTACTGCTTTTACAACTTTTCTCTAAGTCTAAAATGAGTCCAAAACATAAAAAGTTCTTAAAAAACGAGTAGGGACCTCCCAACAAAGTTGACTCTTTGAAGAAAGGCTCTTGGTTTCCCATGTAGTGGTGACGCGAGAGACCCTCTGGGAGGCAGGTGAGGACCGTGCGTGCAGGAGCTGGGCGCGATGCCTGCAGCCAGAACCTGCTCACGGGACCCCTGTGTCTCTCTGGCTTGCAGTGTACCCCGAAGGTGGACTTCCCCCAGGACCAGCTGACAGCCCTCACCGGGCGCATCCAGGAGGCCGGCACCGAGGTGGTGAAGGCTAAGGCTGGAGCAGGTAGGTTTCTCGGAGGCAGTTCGTGGGTGGGGCGCTGATGCCAGAGGCCCTGTTAAGAAAGAGTTCAGAGTTGAAGACTACAGGGGCCTGGGCAAGGAGCAAATACTTGCTGCATTTCCTGTTTGTTCGCTTGATAGAAAACCCTGTATCAGGGAGCTCAGCTTGCTCGGTAGAGTGGAGTGGCGCTTGAGGTTGGCAGAGCTAATTCCTGCCATTCGTGAGTTTGTGAATTGAGGGGTGCTGGCCTAAAGGCTCCACAACTAAAGCTGAGATTTCGACAGATGCTTGATTTAGCTGGTGGGGCGGGCTCACCTGGATCTTCCAGCCTCTGTGCTAGCTGGGTCGACCTCTCTGTGTCCTCCTAGGCTCTGCCACCCTGTCCATGGCATATGCTGGAGCCCGGTTTGTCTTTTCCCTTGTGGATGCAATCAACGGAAAGGAAGGAGTTGTCGAATGTTCCTTTGTTAAATCCCAAGAAACAGACTGTCCCTATTTCTCCACACCGTTGCTGCTAGGGGTACGTATCCTGGAGGCTGGGTCTCTTAACTGTACAAGGAGCATTCTCGCAAAGACTCGGGAGCTCTGCCCTGTCTGGTCGTTTCATAATTCAGAGTTCCTTTGTGCAGTCACTGCACCTCACCGCATTTGCCTGGTGTGTGTGTGTGGGTTTTTGAGGGTGGAGGTGCATTGCAGAATTAAGAGCAAGGAGGAACTGTGGGATTGGCACCTCCTGGCACAGGTATTTCATTGCCCAGGGGTCTGACAGCTGGTCATCAGTGGCTACCCGGGTGTGTTTTCTGATGAGACCCTTGTTCCATCTTAGAGCAGCCCATGGGCAGCTCTGAAAGAAGCTCTGGAAGCTTTGCCACACCAGTCTCCCTATAGCTTATTAGACTTGTCCATTCCTGTCCTGACCTCAGGGCCTACCAGCCTGATCCCCCGCCACAGAGGTCTGGAGATGGTGTGCAGCTGCTCCTTCCAGTTCAGGCATCCTGGTTTCTTGCTCCCTGCCTCCCTGGTTTTCCTTCTGGGAATGTGCTGCTGATCGCTCCCTAGAAACTCATGGTATCTGGACGGAGCCCATCTGGGGTTCTGCTAGCTTCAGCCGGACTCTTTTTTTGGTCCGGTTGACTCTCGAGTCTTCAGTGAGCCAATACCCCTAGGTCTCACTCACACAGACCATCAAGCCAGGTCTCCATTTCTTAGGTGTGGGCAGCTGCTGAAATCAGGCAGACGTGTGCTGGCCTTCACCTCATTCCCAGAAAGAAACTTTTTAGTGACTTGCTGGTCCACCCAGAGGCCCTTCCCACAGACACCGAGATGTTAAAAGATCAGTAAGATGTGGCCCCAGGCCTCAGGGGCTCCGTGCGGTGGAGAGACTGACGCTGAAACACGTTAATTCAGTGACGCGTTCAGCACAGGCATGTGCGGGATGCAGCCAGGCCTGTGGGAAGGAGCACAGGGGGCTGGCTGGCTGTCCACGTCGGGAAGGGCCTTCCAAGGAGGTGGGTGGTGGCAGAGACACTATCAGACATCTGCCTACTGAAACCCATTGGATTCAGGTGGGTATTAAAATGTTTCTTTAGTCCTTTATCAACTTGGGAAACACACTAGAACCCAAAAGTATGCTCCATGCGAGGGAGAATAACATCAAGTGCTACTAATTATCGAGAACTTGATATGCCAAATTACCCACGTGTATTCACAGCCTCCCTCGAGGTAGGTAGTGCCCTTATTTTATACATGAGGAAGCCAGCTTGGTGGGAACCACTATCCAGGACACAAGCAAGGTGACGGCCCATGTCCCTAGGACTGACTGAACCCCGAGCTCCGGGAGCTCGCAGCCCCTCCGCAGCTGCCCCGAACCACGGTGCAGATAGTCTAGGCAGAGCTGGTGAAGTTTCAAGTTAGGTTTTCCGTAAAAAACTTATTTATGGAAACTAACTTTGTTGTAAAAATTTTCTGCCTCCCTTTCAGAAAAAGGGCATCGAGAAGAATCTAGGCATCGGCAAAGTCTCCCCTTTTGAAGAGAAGATGATCGCTGAGGCCATTCCTGAGCTGAAAGCCTCTATCAAGAAAGGAGAAGACTTTGTAAAGAACATGAAATAAGGGCAATTAGTGAGCAGTCCATTTCCTTAACTTATTATGGCATCATGTCACTGTAAAGGAATTTCCGATATCTTTGTATTTCAATTTGCTTTGATGATGAGTATTGTATTAACTTGACCATCCCTTCCAAATCGTGGGTCTACTGATGCATCAATAAAAGTGGGTTTTGATTTTCTTTTTCAAGGTATCTTTCATAAATACTGTGCTTTCGGCCCCATTGGAGCTGACTGCAGAGTGTCTGGCATCTCATCACAAATCAGAACTAGATGTTATTTAAATATTAGACTGAAGCAAGATGGTTTTGCCAGTAGCTTTAAGAAAGCCTAGCATACCAGTCGCTGCTCCTGCCAGCCCTCCTCTTTGCACCACTGCGTCCCTCAGCGTGTAAACTGAGAAGGGTCAGCTCAGTGGCTGGGGCCAGGCCATTGCTTTCTGTCCCTATTTCTGTGTGGTGGTTTCCAGCTAAGCAAACAGTACCATTTTCTACATTGGGGCTGTGTTGGCTGACCACTGTCCCACTCTGGATTTTGTCCTCTTCTGTTGGAGCCATGTGACTGTGACATCCCATAGTCAGTGTTGTGAGGAAAGTTGGGGTGGGGGCAGGGACGACCAAACCACCAGCTGTGGTGGCAGGACCAAAGACACAGTGCTGTCTGTCCTGAGGGAAAGGCGGCTCTGCGTCTGTCTTCCTCAGTGACCTGGAAGAGACTTTGTTGTATAGGCTGGGCTTAGGACAAATGTGGGGCATTAAAAGGGGACCTGATTCCCTTCAGTGCTGGGTGCCATCGGCCCCCCAGAGCCATGGCCCCTGAAGTGGAAATGGCTCCATGGCTGAGAGAGCTTTGGTAATGGGCAGTGTCCGTCCACTGAAGGGTGAAGGGGCAGGCAGGGGTGCGGCTGTGCCCAGTGGAACTCAAACATGGGTTTTATAATCAAGAGTGATGTCGTTTTGTTAAACAGTAATACATGTTCATTGTTTGAAACCTAGAATGTAGCCAAAAAATAAAGCAGGAAGTAGTCACCAGTAATAAACAGTATTTATTCTCTTGATTTTGCATATTTCAAAAAGTTGAGATAATACTTCATGTGCCATTTTACAGCCTGTTCTGGTTATCTGTTCATGTGTAACACACACACACACCTCTAACCTAGCTGCTTCCAAGCCATTTTATTATGTCCCAGATTCTTCAGGTCGACAGGGCTGGGTGGTTCGCTCCAGTTTCAATGGCCTGGCTGGCTTGGCACCTTCAAGATGATGGTTCGGGCAAGTAGCTGGTGTTGGGGGGTGCTGGGAAGTTGGGTGTCTTCGTGAGGTCTCGGTCCTCATTCACAGGGCCTCTGCTGCAGGGCGGGCAAGTTTCTGAACAGCTCCGGGTTCCCTCAGTGCAAGGGCAGTAGCTGCCAGGCAGCAAGGCTTACCCTCAGCCGGCACAGCCTCAGTCCTGCCACACTGGTGAGAGCCGGTCAAGCCCAGGAGCCTGGGGGGCGGTGCCGACCACGCCAGGCCTGAGGACCAGGAGGCCTGGATCTGTGAGAGCCAGCTTTGGGGACTGGCTGCCTCACGTGATTCATGCTGGGAGTATGGACTCGGTTTCCTATGTCACTGTTTTTTCACATTTCAAAAATTTATCTCAAACTGCATAATGGAATAAAAACAAATTGAAAATGTACCTGTTATGAGGATGGTATTAGTTCAAATACAGAGTCCAGCACAAATACTCCTTATTACAAAAATTTTTTATTACAAAATCATGAGCATGTAATTCTGTAACATAACAACATCACACTTAAGCACACCATACAACATTCTGGATGAAATACTCTAAACTACACTCACATCACCCTGCCAACCACACGGAAGCCGGCGTCACTTCTACCCTGTGCACACATGGGTCCTCGGCAGACGGACTCCAACAATACAGAGTCTTCAAAAGACAACTGTGGGGAAAAAGGGAGGGGGACCTTAAAATATGACAATACACTTACAGAAATGTTACAAACCATAAGGAAATATTTCGAACAGTAATTTCATGTCTTTTGTCTGAACAAAAGGGGAAGTTGGGGAACAAGCTATTATAAATTACCAATGATGTCAACCTGTGTGGCCATTTTTGCTTTTAACAGTAAGCTTAAAAAAAATTTAGTACAATCTAAAACTTCTTTAAAGACCACAGAGGTAGTACTTATCCTAGTTTTTTCCTTTTGCACAATTTTTTTTAAAGATTTATTTATTGTCAGAGAGGGAAGGGAGGGAGATAGAGAAACATCAATGTGCGGTTGCTGGGGGTTATGGCCTGCAACCCAGGCATGTACCCTGACTGGGACTCGAACCTGCGACACTTTTTTGTACAATTTTTAAACAAATGTCCAAATCTTAGTTCCCTGCATCTGCAGCTGCCCGAATTTCAGCTGCAGAACCCAAATGCAGCAAGAAGCCTTTCCTTGAAAACTGTCAGCAAGCCCTCAGCTTATAGACAACGGACGTATTGATTGCCATGTTCATCTCATAGATCGTATACAAAAGTTGCTTGCAAATATTAAAACATTTTTTTCATTGCTGGAAGACTAGCTCTTAATATTATTAGTAAAGACTTTTGCAAACTTTCTGGAAAGCTCTTACCATATCACTAGAACTTATAAAAAGTTTTGCATAGTTTTCTTTCCTCCAGATTCATAACAAGGTCCATTCCCTCGCCCTCTCCACCCCACTGCCCCCCCCCGTTTTCTCTGTACAGAAACAGCCCCCCCCCCCCCCGGGAAAAAAAAGAAGTCCAGGATCTCTCATAAAAATGTCGTTGGCATGGTGGCCTTTTCTGTGAGGGTAGGTGGGATTGCTGTCTCTTCTGCAGATGAGGTTTTTCTCTGCGCTGTTTGTACTCTCCTCCCATTTCCCTTCTTTTTTCTTTGAAAATCTCCCGCTTCAGTTCACTGCCTGGCCCTCACATGTCCAAGAGGAGCAGTGTGCTGTTAATGGCCGTGCTGGGACGTGTGAAGTCCGCTGGACGCAGCTGGCTGGGCACTTGGTGCGCAGGAGATACATGCAGATCCTGTGCCAGAGGTCCCCAGCCTGGCAGAGTGCCCCAGAGTGAGGAGAAGGAGGTAACCACGGGGGGTGGAGGAGCGGGGAGCAGGAGGCTGAAGGTGGCTTCGGGACTTGAACACCAAGACCATGGAGCCAAGCACCATGCCAGTTGTGCCCTGCTGCAAGTAGGGCATGCTGGAGGTGGGTGAGATGTTGGTGTAGGTCTGCAAGCCAGTCATGGAGTTGTACTGCAGGGTGCCCACATGGTACCGGAGCCTGGGCAGCGCTGTGCGTGTGGAGGCCCAGGTTCTGTGGATAGCCCAGCTGGTGCTGCGTGGTGCTGTAGCCACTGCTGCTCCAGCCATTGATGTGTGCACACCTGTCCACGCAGTGGTTCACACTTGTGCCTGGGCCCACTCCCACCACGACCCCACGCGCCAAGCTGTTTTCTCCCAGGGACTGCAGCCCACAGGGCAGCGTGTACTTACCCTTCTTCATGAGCGTCTTGGTTTTCTGCTGGGGCCAGTATTTATAATTTGTGTGCTCCTTTGTGCGGCGCTTGTAGTTGCTCAGCCTCGTCAATGAATTGCTGCTTCGTCTCCGACAAGTTCCACTTGGTGCCCAGGAGCTTGCTGATCTCTAAGTGGGGCATCTTGGGGTTCTCTTGGGCTATCTTGCGCCACTGCCTGCAGGACCACACCATGAAGGCGTTCGTGGGCCGCTTCACGTGGTCCAGGCTGTTCTGGCTGCTGCACCCCCAAAGTTTGCTGCGGGCCCTGCAGCTTCAGCTCTGTCTCTGTCACGTTGAACAGGCGGGTGCTGTGCAGCCAGGACTCCTATGTCACTTTTAATAGCTGGATAACCTTAGGGGGAATGTTATCCCCTAAGCAATTTATAGCACATAGGGGAATGTTATCCCCTATGCAGTTTATAACACTTTTGAATAATTAGGTGGTTTAGATGTTAACTACTACGAAGAGTGTGGCCCTGGACATCACTGCACTACTAATTCCTCCTGGTGGTTCTGTATGTGAAGCGCTGTGCTAGCTCTGTCTTGGGTGTGTTTGCTACTTTATGGGGTCCTTAGAGCAACCCTGACAGGCAGGACCTAGAACAGATGACTCACAGAAGGTTGTCTTGGTTTAGGATTGTCAGTGTCCATCCTATATACCTGTGATTACCACACAAGAATCTCCCAGGGTTTGCATGAAATTCAGGTTCCTGGCCCCACCACTCAGAAGTCCCAGAGGAAGGGCCAAGAAACTAAAATGCCTGAGATTCTTCCAGATTAAGCTGGGGAGGTGGGGCCATCCACCACACTGGACACTGGCTACCCCAGAATGCTTTTCACTGTATAAGCCTCCTGCCTTGTGGGGCTTACAGAGAAGTCAGGGATGCGAGAATCAGAAAGTGCAGATCAAGTCCTGCAGGAGTCCAGAAGAGAACAAGGTTGCTTCTTGACAATTTGGCAGAGGCAAGGATCAGAGAAGATTGCTCCATATAGACAGCAGGAGGGAGGAGGAGAGACAGATGGCATTTGAGCAGGCTCTGAAAGCTGGGTAGGAGTCCAGCAGGCAGGGAGGGCAGGCTGGGCACACCAGGCAGCAGCGGGAGCAGGTTGGGCGTGGAGCAGGCTCAGGATGTGTGTGAGGAATGGCCGTGTTTGACTTGCAGCATAGAGCACAGGATGGGGGCAGCGAGGCCATTCTGGGGGGTCTTGAACGCCAGGCTAAAGAGCTTGGCCCTCACCCTGTGGGTAGTGGGAACAGGGAGGATGTCAAAGGTGCCACGCAGGTGACGTGATTCTAAGATGGGGCTTGTTAACACACACACTGATTCAGAAGCCTGGGCAGGGTCCAGGTGAGGCCTGTGCTGCAGGCCACCCTGGAGTAGGGAAGAGATGGAGTAGTGGTCAGGATGCTCCGCAGCAGAAGGGCCAAGGGCCCACAGTGGGATGGCAGTGAGTGAGAGAGGGGACAGGGACAGGAGGAAAAACAGCATCTCCCAGCCCCATTTTCACCACCCAGAAGCCCATCAGACAGCTAGCAGCGTGGGTTAAACTAGCTGCCCCTGCTTTCACGCTTCAGTGAAACACCTCCCAGGCCCATAACTGGCTGCCGTCCCTGCCTTCTGGTCACCTCCTGACACACGACTCTCCCCTCGGTGAAGAAGAAAAGCCCAGGGACTGAGTGTGTGGTGTTAATGATGATAATGAGCTGGCTGAGGCCTTTGCCAGGGGAGGGCCAGAACTGGTTTTTAGAGAGCAGAAAGGAGGCTGGGTGGAAGCAGTGGGGCACCCACAATGAGGGTAATTAGGTGTCGGCTTATGGTAATTAGTCCTGCAAAGAGGCTGCCGTCCGAGGTAGACACAGCCAAGTTGGGTAATTATTAGGAAAGCGGAATGTCAAGCTCTCTCTATGGCAGAGGGGGTGTAGAGCTTAACTAAGAATGACCTTGACTTAGGAGGGATGTATGCTGCAGTTCTCTCAAATAGCCTGGAGGGGGAGACAGAGACTAGGGCTACAAAACTGCTCCTTGGGAACTGTCTAGGTCAGGTGGTGGCGTGAGGATTAGCATTCCAGAGCCAAATCCGGCTCCCTGAGTTCAGGTCTCTGATCACCAGACTCCAGGGGAAGCCACTTTCAGGCAGGGGTAATACAGGTGGGAGTGAGTCCAGGGAGGGCTGTGGAAATTAGCGCCGCCCTGGCTGTCCTAGCTCAGTGGATTGAGTGCGGACTGTGAACCAAAGAGCCGCAGGTTCGATTCCAGTCAGGGCACATGCCTGGGTTGCAGGCCACAAGCCCCCAGCAACCGCACATTGATGTTTCTCTCTCTCTCTATCTCCTCCCCTTTCCTCTCTAAAAATAAATAAAATCTTTAAAAAAAGAAAAAGAAAGAAAGAAACTACCGCCCAGCTTTGGAAAGACGCAGTATCAATGCCGGGGACTTCCGGGGAACGTGGGCCCAGGAAGAAAACATTCCCCTCCCCATTAGCCCTGCCGGGTG